TTGTTACCCTTCAAAAAAAGAGGTGATTGCTGCAATTCTTACCAAGTCTCATTTCAAGATGCAAGCGCAGATCCAAATCTAAGTTCCAGTTAGTCATACTACCTTGAGTGTCTGTGGGGAACTGTCCTGTAATGAGGATTGGAAGCTGTCCTATGCCACCAGGAGAAGCTGCTGATAAAGTACCATATGAGGTTTCAATTTATGCTTTAGGCTTCTGACAACATCCATGGTGTGAATAAATTTTTATAATTAGGATTTTTTTCTTTAGCTATGGGTGGTAACTGGTGAAACAATTTTGGGGGGCATTACCACAACCTGTTCTATCCAGACAGTTTGAAAGAAAACCTCAGAAAGGCAAAAAAACTTGAATTTACTTTAGACTTTTCCTACTCATTAAGATGAGCAACCTGGTCTAGTGGAAGGTGTCCCTGCCCATGGCAGGGGGGTTGGAACTAGATGATCTTTAAGGTCCCTTCCAACCTAAACCATTATATGATTCAGTGATGATAGATCTGTATTTATTAACTTTGTTCCTTGAGAGCTTTGTTCTAAAGACTGTTTGACTGAGCATTAGATAAACAAGTAAGATACTGCATTGAACTAGAAGTGCACTTTGAACCATTGGTTAGTGTGTGCCTGTGTTACAGGCACATTTTTGCTTTAACAGAGGTCTGTTTTTTCTCTCCATTCCCAGACTTTATTCGTCAAACCTCTTTCATGCTGCCTGGTCCTTTATAAGGTCACAGGGCTGCATAAATTCTTCACTACCAATAATAAACCAAAATTAGATGTGCACACTATTTTTCAGTTTTCCAGACCAGTTTGTTCTTCTGCTTGGTTCTTGGCTGGTTTATTTACTTTCTTCCCATTCTGTCTTTAAAATTAAAACAAGCAAACAAACAAACCTACAAAAAACCAAAACAAAACCTCACAACTGTAGAGTTCTTTTGAGCAATACTTTGGGAAATCTGCCTGACCCATCAGGTTTTCAGATCAATTAATCCATTAGAAAACAAGATTAGTAAATGTTTAAGTGATGATTGCATAGCTGAGTTAAGAGACTAGTTACATATCTAGTATTTATGTTTAATTTGGCCTCACTTTTAAAAAAGGCTGACTTTGTGAAAGGAGATGGTGGTTAGAGGAACTGGGAAGACAATGGCATATTGTGGATGTTGGATATAGAATCATAGAATGGTTTATGTTGGAAGGGACCTTAAAGATCACCTAGTTCCAACCACCCCTGCCATGGGCAGGGACACCTCCCACTAGAGCAGGTTGCTCAAAGCCCCATCCAGCCTGAACAACTCTAGGGACAGGGCATCCACAACTTCTCTCGACAACCTGTTCCAATGCCTCACCGCCCTCAGAGTGAAATTTTTTCCTAATATCTATTCTAAATCTCTCCTCTTCCAGTTTTAAGGTATTACTCCTCGTCCTATCACTACATGCCTTTGTAAAAAGCCCCTCTCCAGCTTTCTTGTAGACTCCCTTTAGGTACTGGAAGGCTGCTATAAGGTCTTCCCAGAGCCTTCTCTTCTCCAGGCTGGATAACCCAAACTCTCTCAGCCTGTCTTCATAGCAGAGGTGCCCCAGCCCTCTGATCATCTTTGTGGCCCTCCTCTGGATCCAGTCCAATAGGTCCATGACTATGCTGAGGACTCCAGAGCTGGATGCAGTACTCCAGGTGGGGTCTCACGAGAGTGGAGGGTGAGAATCACCTCCCTTGATCTGGTGGGCACACTTGTCTTGATGCAGCCCAGGATGTGGTTGGCCTTCTGGGCTGTGAGTGCACGTTGCCGGCTCACGTTGAGCTTCTCGTCCACCAACACCCCCAAGTCCTTCTCCTCAGGGCTGCTCTCAATCCCTTCTCCACCCAGCCTGTATTTGTGCGTGGGATTGCCCTGACCCAGGTGCAGGACCTTGCACTTGGCCTTGTTGAACTTCATAAGTTGACACAGGCCCACCTCTCCAGCCTGTCCAGGCCCCTCTGGATAGCATCCCTTCCCTACAGTGTGTCAACTGTGCCATGCAGCTTGGAGTCATCAGCAAATTTGCTGAAGGTGCACTCAATCCCACTGTCTGTGTCACCGACAAAGATGTGAACAGCACTGGTCCCAGTACTGACCCCTGAGGAATGCTGTATAGAATGAGTGGTTAAAGCAATGATTTAATTTATGTAGAAATATAAAATAAAAATAACTGAATTAAAATGGAGAGGGAAGTACATCAGTGTGGGAAGAAAGTATGGATAGGTCATGTAAGGCAGTGGTTAAGGTCCTGATACTTTTGAGGCCAGAGGGAATGCTGTTTAGTGGTTCATGGGGCTATGTGTGTGTGTATTTTATTGTATGATTCTGTCTGTGTCTATGCCTTACTATTCTAAGTACTTCATAGTAAAGACCTGCTTTACTTTTTGTCTTTTGATGGTCTTAAAATTTTGGATCAAGGAATTATGCATGTGTCTGATCTTAAATTAAATTTTCTAGCTGTAATTAAGACCTGAGGAAACTTGGAGTGTCATAATGCTTACAGTTTAGATATAGATCAATATAGGTCCATCACTTCCTTAGGTAGATTGTAGTGGAACGTGCTTATGGAGAGAGATATCTTCTTCCCAAATTGTTTGGGTTTTGTGTACTGCAAGTGTTATCTTTGAAAAAGGATAATTGTTGATAGCCATTAAGGACCCCACCGCAAAATACTTAGTTATGAAGAAACATTGATATTTTTATACTGGAGCAGTTTTTGGTTCATTTAAGTTGTGGAATAATGTACAGTACCTATCATGACTAGTATGCCTGTTTCAGGAACATGCACAAACTTCTGTGGTAAGTATTTTACAAATAATCTCCTCACAAACATTTTTCCTTACTAACTCCTAATTTTTAAAGTTGTCCAGTATGTTTTAGTACAAAGTTTTATGAGCTTATCAGAAAGTCTTTTACCATTTCTTAAAATCTGACTGAGAATGTGATTTCTGTAAACTAGTTACGCATTGTGAACAGGGTGGCTCAGTTTCATTAACTGTCATGTGTTATGAAACCTGTTTGTTGTTTTATCTCTTGTGCTTCCTTTTTTGTATTTAGTTTTTTTTCCAAAGGACATCACAGAGTAACCTTTGGAATACATCAGATGACTTCATATTTGCATGGATCTCCATAATTGCAGTCTCTACTTAGTTCATTTTTAGTAGGTGTTAAAAGTGAAACTAAGAAAAACTGGTTGTACTATGTATTTCACTGCTTATGCCTTCCTAGCAACCTATCATGACAATTCCTTGATGCTTCTGATTGCAGATGATCAGATGCTTTGAGATCAGGATCTGATGTGCATTTTTGTTAAGTTTCTGTCTCCGTTAAAATGTTAAATACCTTTCAGACATTAAATGTCTTTTGGAATACTCATTGAATATTCATGGTTTCACTTTTCTCTGCTCGTTACAGCTCCTGAATTATTTTCTTCATGGAAGTAGTTTTTTTTAATGCCATACAACTGCTTGAGATTCCATATATTTTTGTTTCTCCTAGCTAAGTGTAATTTAAATACATATCTTTTCAGCTACGTTTTTCTTAGTTTTCTTCCAGTTGCACAACAGATCAACACTGCTGTATTTGCAGTAGGAGAGTGCTACTTACAGTTATGATACCTTGAGACCTCAGTTTCCAAAAGCCTTGCTTCAAATTCCTTACCATTTTTATTTAATTCTTTATTTACTGAAGATCAGATTAGATATTTTAGCAGTCACAGAAGTTTATTTAAGAAAACCATATCGGATGGCCTGTGGGGACAATGTGGTTTAGCCTTTAAAATCACCAATAACAGCAGAATCTGCAGTAATGCATAATAGTGGAGAAAAAGAATTGTCCATATATCTGCTGCCCTTATTGGTCTCTGTTACAAAATACTTCAGGAGATTCAGCCTTTTATGCACAGCTGCATAGTCTCATCCACTTCTGATCCAATTCACAGACTCATGGGTACCACTTTTCCATTCCCTTCCACCTCGGAACATTTCCATTTTGGTAGAGCAAAAGTTGTGCAAGTAGGATTCTCTGACTTCTAGAGGTAGCTTATATCCAGCCAATATGGAAGTTTACTGTATTGTGAGAGCAAGGATAACCTGAATCAGTTTCTGCTTCTCTGTCGCCTGTGGTGCTGGGGGTGCCTGAAGTATTTGGCGATTTTTAGGCAATATACATTTCTCAGACCTTTTATCGCAGATATATATGATAAGAACCCTGTCTTGTGCTGAGGAATCTCTGTGTATCCTTATTCTCACAACATTTGTTTTCTTTCTGCCTAAAACAGAAGCCAGTAAGGGCATCAACATTTAAAACTCAGTCAAGAAACAGAATAGCGATGAGATGAGGTGTTTTTTTAAACAAAGTGTTAGTGACTCATCAGCTGGTTTTCTACAAAGTGTTGTAGAGATGATTATAGCCCTGAACTTATTAACCACATAGAGAGGCTCTGTTTGTCCCTGTTGACCAAGCTTCTGAGCTGTCTTGTTTTTTACCCCTGGTAGAAGTTACAGGTTCTGTCCCTGTGAAAGATCATAGAGTAGTTACCTGTAATGTTCAAAACTGTTGTTTCAGACATAGGAATGCCATGTAGCTGACAGCAGGACTTCACAAACCCAAGCAGCTTAATGGCTTTACATTGTCAAGAAGGGAAGAGAGTGTTTTGCTCAGTCTGTGGACAAGTACACTTCCTGCATGTGGGAAAAAATGAGACAGATAATTTCAGCTGGTTAAAAATGTGTTTTAAGACCTCTTGCTTCTGTTTCTTTTTGAACAAAGTTGTGTTAGCTGTTTACAGATGTAATTTGCTGTCACTTGCCATATGCTCCCTGATTAATTCTGCAAGGCCTGTCAGCTTCAGATAATTTAATTTTCTGTGCTTTAAAATGACATTCATTATCAGGACATGAAAAATTCAAATGATTAACTGCAAATTATGACTAATAAAGTGTCTATTTTTTTTTTGTTTGTTTCCAGAGAAAAGCAGAAAGCTGAAGTCAAGGACAGAAGGGTTTTAGAGATTTTGCAAGCCAAAGACAGCAAAATAGAAACCCTAGAACAGGTTTGTGTTATGTTTATATAGAGCAGTTAAGAAAACTTCTATCACTGACATCAAATTTATATTTCCTAAGATGTGAAAATGGTTTGCTGTTGTGTTTTAAGGTGAAAGTTGCAGATGATTCAAAAATCATAACCTTCTGATAAAGTATTAATTAAACTGTTCTGAGTTGTTCAAAGAGTTGACCTTTAACCTAAAAAGTTCCATGTTTTTAGGTGAAACTTCTTCTGAAAAGTTTTATCAACTCATTGCCTTATTTTGCCTAATGGGCTAATCTAAACTTGGATTTTAATGTAAACATAGAACTTTCTAGGTCTGCAACATGCCCATGGTTTGGAAAGATTTGCCATCCTGACAAATAAAAAAATAAAACATTTCTAGAGTAATGAGGACTAAACATGTAGTAAAAACAGTACAGATAAGCATTTTAGTGTTACTAACCTGTAACAATATTTGTTAACAGTTAGCATGAACTATAAAACAATACTGACAAGTCCAAAATGTCATACTTAAGTCTTACATCTATTGGACTGGTTACTACTCAAAACTGATTGCTGTGTATCAGTAAAAAAAATCTAAATGAAACCCATGTATTGCACAAAGCCATTGGTGAAACTGAGGAAATATGAGCACATTTTCTAAAAATGAAGATAATTATTTGAAAAGTAATCAAGGCTTTTGAACCCTTCATAGTGTTTGAAATGCACTACTTATGAAATCCAACGCTAACAAATGCTAAATAAACACAAGAGAACAATAAACATTGCACCTTTCTTTTCTCCATAAACGTCAAATACCTTCTCAAGACTGAGGAGAACAGAATGTGCTTTTCCTGTTATTAAGGATATTAATAAGAAAAAAGTCATTATCAGATCAAGTGTGATATGGAAGGAGAGAAAAAGAGTTAGAATTACTTCACAGATAATAAAGCTGATAGCAAAAACACAGACAGAGATAGAAGGTGTGCTTTCAGATGTCTAAATACCTCAGTTCCTGGGATTAAAAGGTTGACTGACACATAGTTTTTTGTAGAATCACAGAATGGTTGAGGTTGGAGGTCATCTGCTCAAGCAGGGAGACCTAGAGCCAGCTGCCCAGGACCATATCCAGACAGCTGTTGAATATCTCCAAGGAGGGAGACTCCACAATTTTCCTGGGCAACCCATGGCAGTGCTTAGTCACCCTCAGAGTGGAAAAGTATTTCCTGATGTTCAGAGGGAACCTCCCGTGTTTCAGTTTGTGCCCATTGCCTCTGGTCCTGATGCTGGGCACCACTGAGAAGAGCCTGGCTCTTTCTTCTTTGCATCCTCCCTTCAGGTATTTATATACATTGATGAGATTCCCCCTGAGCCTTTTTTTCTCCTAGCTGAAAAGTCCCAGCTGTCTCAGCCTTTCCTTGTAGGAGAGATGCTTCAGCATCTAAATCATCTTTCTGGCCCTTAGCTGGACTCTTGCCTGTAGCTCCGTATCTCTCTTGTACTATGGAGCGTAGAACTGCACACAGAACTCCAGGTATGGCCTCACTAGTGCTGAGTAAAGAGAAAGCTTCTCCTCTTTCAACCTGCTGGCAATACTTTGCCTAATGCAACACAGGGGTACCATTTGCCATCTTTGTCACAGTGGTACTTTGCTGGCTTATGCTCAACCTGTTGTCTGTCAGGACCCCCAGGTCCTTTTCTGCCAAACTGCTTTCCAGCTGGGCAGCCCCTAGTGTGTCTTGGTGCATAGACCCAGCATAAAAGGTCGCATGGGGTTGTTCCTCCTGCGTGCAGAACTTTTCATTTCCCGTTATTGAATTTCATAAGGTTCCTTTCAGCCCATTTCTCCAGCCTGTCCAGCTGCTGAACAGCAGCATGACCCTCTGGTGTATAGCCACTCCTCCCAGTTTTGTGTCATCAGCAAACTTGCTCAGGGTGTGCTCTGTCCTATCATCCAGATCACTAGTGAATTTTCTCACACTTCTGATGGCCTTCACTAGGGTCTGGCTTGAATTGGGGTAAGTTGTGTAGCCTGTGGTGTAAACTCAGTTTTCCAGACGTTACCTACTTTTGGTTTATTCAAAATAAACCTGGTACACCTGCTGGCTGATGAGAAACCCCACTGAAATGAAGTTATTCATCCTTTTATTTTGTGTTAGAGCAGTGTCTGGAGTTTCTGTGTGTTGTCATGTCCTCATGGCTGTAGATGTGATTTGTAATGTGTCTGGTGCATGCATGTACATCAATTTTTATAAGCCAGCAATGCACTATTATTCCTGCATTTCTATCCTATCCTTAGCTGGAAGAGAAAATACCTGTGTTTATAAGAAGTATAAGTTTATAAGAAGTTTATAAGAGTTGGTGTGCAGTAATGTGCTTTTAAGAAGGGCTGCCTGCTGTGACAGCTTCTGAACCTGCAATGTGCATCTCCATGAGATTGCTCTCTGTGGTGTCAGATCAATTTCAGAAGCTGAAATTGAAATTGATCAGAAATCTGAAATTGGTTGTGTGATACAGTTACCATCTGGAAGTGGAGAGAGGCTGAAAATGTAACTAGAATCAAGGAAAAGTGGCAGCCGTGAAAGGAGTGAATGCTTGGCACCAAGATGGGAGGAGGACAGAAGCTGCTTGTCTGATGATTGTCACAACTTTAGTGTGTGTTGTAATACAGCTCCTTCAAATAGCTTCCCTTAGAGTATCATTGACTCGAGGGGGTGTGTGTGTGTGTGAAGGGCACCAGATGGTGCCAACGGCCATTCCTGCATATAAAAGCTGTGTATGAAGGTAGTGTCACTCTGACCTTCTTGCCTTATTCATTGGCTGGGATGCCACAGGATTGAAACAAGTCAGGGATCATTTTCTGAGTTTTTGGAGTGGTTTTGGTGGTTTGGTAGTCAAAGATGAGTTGGCATAGACAGCAATGTAGTAAGGAGCATTGTCATTTATGTTGTTTTCCTGGATTTGTCCTTTCTTTGTTGAGTTAAGGAGAAAAAGATATTATTTCTGTAATTAACATCCAAATAGGTTGCTTATGAAACCGTGAGTTTTGACAGTAATGACAATGAATGTTTTTTTGTGTAATGTATAGACAGCAAGACTTCAGGGCTGCCTATTGCAGTTTACCAATCTGTTATGTCTAGAAAGGTGAGATTATCCAGTCGTCTCTTCCGTTGTTTTTCCCTTCCCCTTCACACATCATACAGAGATATCAGTTGCAACTATATCATTTGTTACACGGTATTTATTTACTAGGAATTTCTGGGTAGCCACCAAACAGCTGATTGTATGCATGTACGCTGAGTAAGGGAAAAAAGGCAAATAAATGATGTATCTCATACTTCGACATGTATGTAAGCTGATATTGCTGCCAGAAACAAAACCCTAGAAGAAGAACATGAGATAATCCTTATTCTCTTGTATTCTGCTTAGACTTTGTCTTGACAGGCTTAAGAACCCTTTTAAAATTACTGTAAATAAGAAAGCATATCTCCTCGCCCTAGGTGAGATGCATGTAGTTATTTAATATTGAGAGCTAAATTAGCTTTATTTGTAATGAAAGATTTCAACTGTTTGAAGGGTTTCCATTTTAATGGATGTTACTGAAAATCAACTAAAATAATTAATCTAGAAATTTATGACTGAGAAGTAATATAGTCTTTCTTCACTTTTGTATATCCTAAACGGGGAAAAAAAGTGCTCAAATATTCATGAGAACAGGAGCTGTGGCTTTAAGGGTAAAAATCAGTGTAAATCACAGGTTTGCAAAACTTCTGCTGTCTAATGTCTTTGGAACAGAGTATGTGCAGTAAACTTTTATGTCCTTTAGTGTGACTTCAGTCTGTTGCCCAAATTACAATGGTGTAATCTTCAGTTTTAGATAAATGTATAGATCTTTTTTCTTGCCATGAGTTTATTGCATAACTGCATATTTTGTTAAATATTTTAAGTAGGAAATAATATGGATCATTAAAAAATGTACAATTCAAAGGTTCAAATAAATATGGTACTTATTAAAGCACTTAAGGTTTTTTTCGTATATTATTGCACATAAATTCAATACAAAATGTATTGTATCGGAGTTTTTCATTGTATTTTTCCCTTTGTTCTTTCTTTTTTGAAATTCCTGTCCTTGTAATTGGTTGATTGGTAACTTTTGGTCTTGATATTCACAGCTGTGCCTCATCTGGCATATACATATTTGTTCGAAATGCTGTGTGGTAAATATCTTACTCCTTTGAGGCTGGTGGCTAGATTGCTATACTGATCTTATTACTGTCACTTTTGGTTTACAAAGTGGCTCAAAACTCTTTTTCTCAGTACTGATGTATCCTTGCCTTATATACATAGTTTCTCTGTTTGTTTCAAGGAAAATAATTTCTAATTGTTGCCTTTAAATGGATAACTCACTATCCTAGAATGTTAAATATTCTTCTGAAGGCTGACTGCTACAGGTACTTGTTTTCGTTCTCCCTTTTGTGTGGAAATATTTCCCGCTTGGTGTATTTAATTTATATGTATGTCTCAAATAGATCTCTGGTGCTTTTTTTTTCTTTTAATATAAGGTGAGGCTTTAGGAAGAATGCGTTAAAATTTTTGAATTTAAACAATTAGTTCAGACAATAATGTGGGAAAAAGGAACTCAGTCTTCTGCCATTCATGAAATAGATAAATTAAAATATCTTCACCTGTTTTCCTTAGGAGATGAAATTAAAGATGTGTAAAAGTAGCAGTAAACCTTTTCTGTCTTCTATAATGTTGTTAATTAATTGGGTTTCAATTTTGATCTGGAAGAACTAAAGCTAATCTTTTTGTCCTAGACCTTGTAACATTTCAGAACCTTATCAACTGATTATACTCCAGAGGGGTTAAAATAGTACTAGCTTGCCTCATTATCTGCACTTGAAAATCTTCAGCTTGCTGTGCAAATCTATATTAAAGCCTCTTTAATGGGTCCAATTGAAAGAAGCATAATTCTACCTTCAAGCATTAATTAACACTAATAATTTTTTTCTTAACTTTTGTACC